AAATAAACGAATGAACATATTCATTCTGATCAATTAATCATTGGACAAATTAAACAAGAATAAACAAGAAACAGGAATGAACGTTCATCAAATTTTGTTGTTGCCTCCAAGAACAAACTCTTCCTATGTAATGATAATAGACTTGTTCTGGTTCTCTGTCCGGACTAATCCTAACAGTCAGAAAACAGTCATCCAACTGAATACTGAATATGTTTTCACGTAAACCTTCTCAGTGCACAACTGACTCACTTATTTTGGACGATTCGAAACAGTACTAACTGCGAATCAAAACAAACCTAATAATAGGAATGTTTCATCTATTACGAGTTACGAGTAGTCTTAGAATACTTTACTATGGTAATAGAGTAGGTATTTTCAAATTTGAGAAAAAAAGCAATTCATCAAATTGAAATTCTCTAGAATTTTCATAGTTTTGTATCTCCATACCTCTCACAGAAAAAACACGTTTGTTGAAACGTCATAATGATTGTTTTTTTAGGTTAGGTTCTAGTCTCGGAAGTAAAAATAAATATTTAAGACAAATCAGTTATCAACTCAACATCGTTAATCAACCAAAGAACTGATTTTATAAAATTTTGCTCTGACAAAATGGATTGGTAAGGTGAATGCAAAATTCTACGTTTTTGAATCAATAAAAACAGACCAGTAACGGGAACAAATTGATACCAGAAAGCAAGATGTCTTTGTTTAGAAAGCCTAAGAAGACAATACAAAGAAGAGTATTCACTGAGAACGACGATGAAGATGAAGATGAACAACCCATGGACTTCCAAGAAGCGGCTCCTGTCGAAAAAAGACCAAGAAAAAAAGACAAATCTTCCAAACAACAGATACTATTGAGTTTCGATGCTGAAGAAGAGGGAGAAGTTTTTCAGGTGAAAAAGTCTTCACACAGCAAAAAGGTTTTGAGAATGTTTGAAAAGGAAAAAAAGAAAAAGGATGTCAAACATGAAAAAGACGAAATCAAATCAAAGGAAAAAACTGAGATTGTAACGGATGACCTGGTGTTGGTGGTTAATTCCAATCATAAAAAACCTCCTACACCTCCTCATCCGCAGATTCTCAGTGGACGAGATGCCTTATGCGCAGGTAATTGATTCAAAAAATTAAATTGAAAGGACTGAAATCAATAATGTATAAACAATTAGGGAAAATGACTTCTCTCTCGTACTAGATCTGTGAAAACACTTATTGATGTATGTTTAACCTACCAAGTTGGAAGGTTTAACACATTTTTTTGTTTTAAATATTCCTTATCAATGGAAAGTGAGTTTTATCACACTCACAATTGAATATTTTGTTAGAATGAGGTTTTGCAGAGGCTTTCAAAGGAGTGTATTGTGGAATGTTTTCATCAAGACTTGAGAAATTTGATGATAACAGTATTCTTGATTCTAATGGAAACATTTTTCCTACATCAGAATAAAAAAAACTCTGTCTTCTGACTTGTGTTTTGCCATCCAAGTTAGCATCATCACGAGGTGACTCAAACTTTAGTTTTAGTGAGACATTGTTTTTGTTTTAACGTGAGTAAAGTATTTTCATTAGATTCATTTACACCACAGGTTATAATTCTACCTATCAAGTATTTTTGATATTCCCACTCATAGAAAATCTATCAGGTGTTGTTCCTCAAAGGTTTATTTTGGAATATTTCCTATGAAACACTTTATAATAGGAATTTTCATAGATATAATTGAAATATTGAGTGTAAAATTAGTCTCATGAAAACCCTTTTCCCAAAACAAAACATAAGCACCGCATCATCATGTGCATTTTGCTAACTACCTTTTTTACATTTGCACGAAACGTTACCTTCAATAATAAGCGGCATTAAATGGGTTCCCTATATTAGTTTGCTATAGTATTCTTAATTTATATATTAATGATTACTTTTTATGGCAACTAAAATGCCCTGGTTTTTACTCATCATTATTACGTAAGAGAGTAAACAAAGCACTGTTTGGAATGCGACCTTCATCTTGGTCATTTCACATTTTTCAATTTCTGAACTTTAGAAGCCATCTAATCTGCTGTCATGTATCGGTCTCAACAATATCAAGCAATCCTCACTTATTCTGTGACAATTCTCTGAGGCCTGTTGAGCACTAGACTTATCTGGTATAAAAAACGGAATATGTGAAACATATTCCTTGAAATCTGTTCTAATATCCCAATATACGTTTTTGCAATCCTTACAGCTCATTTCATAAATCTTAGACTTTGCTTCTCCAGCATCCAGCATATAGAGCATGAATGTTGCAGGAAGCAACATTAATGCTCTAACTTACCTTTTTACACTCCCCAAACCTAGTACTTCTATATTCCTTAGTCCAGTTACTGAGGTTGAAGTTAAACAAGCAATAATTAAATTTAAAAAACTTTGCTTGCATGGACATATACAACAGTAGAATGATTAAAGAAACCCTACACCTTGTCTCTGGTTCATTGACTGTTCTTTTCAACCGTTGCCTCTGTGAAGGACTATTTCCAGACATCTTCAAAACAAGTAAAGTTATTCTCATATTCAAAAAGGGTGATCCAAGTATTCCAGATAACTATAGACCCATATCTATCATTCCTATCTTTGGTAAAATTTTTGGGATGCTAATTGAAGATTGCTTAATTTCCTTTTACATGCTCATTCAATATTTAATAAAAATCAATTTGGATTTAGGTCTAACAAACCCAAGCTCTGATAGCTATAGTTGATACAATAATAGAGAATATCGAAAAGGGGCTAGTGTCTGCTCTAATTCTATGTGATCTAAGTAAGGCTTTTGAGCTAGGAGCTACTAGGTAAATTGGAATATTACGGGATACGTGGCAGAGCTTTAGAGCTAATGAAAACCTACTTGTGCGGGAGAAAACAAGTTGTTTATACTCTTTTTGTGGTATATATTAATGATATTTTTAATTTCTTACTCCCAAGCTTATTTTTTTGCTATGCAGATGATGTATCAACGGTAGAAGCAGACTCAAATGTTAACGACTTAATGGACCTATGTTCTAGAACAGATAATGATGCTAAAACTTGGTTTACATTAAATTATCTCAAACTAAACAGGGATAAGACACAGAAAATTATAATATCATCAAATAGACAACTAACGAAGAAGCAACTTGAAGATTTATTGGGGTTTAAAATTGATGACATGTTTAATTGGGAAAAACATGTTGCTGGTCTGTGTAAAAAACTTTCTACACAACTGTTTCTACTAAGACTTCTGAAAATGTGTCTTAGTCAAAGTATGGTATTACTTTTTTAACAGCCACCTAACATATGGCATACTTTTATGGGGTCAGTCTTCAAATGCAATTAAAGCTTTTCGTATGCAAAAAAAAGCAATCCGGATCATAGCCAATGTTTCTTACAGAGAACACTGTCGTGCTCCATTAAAAAAACTCAAAATTCTATCCTTGCCATGTATTTTCATACTCTATAACATTTTAGAGATTCACAAAAATAATACTAAGTACCTTACAAATGATGACTTTCATAATTACCCTACTCGAAGAGGTGCACACCTGAAGCCACAATTTTATCAGCTTAAAATTTACTCAACTTACATTTATACAACAAAATACCAACAGACATTACCGGTCTGAGTTTCAACCGTTTCAAGGCTAGAGTTAAGCACTCACTATTAAGGCACTGTTTCTACTCCATCGACGAATATTTGAATTGTGAGACATCAATATTTTTATATGTTACATGTGTTTTTTATTAATATTTTATTTTTTCCATAATAATTGTTTTAGATGTGATCAGCGTGTATAACAATAACTATCGTTCAATTATTGTTATTCTTGTTTGTCAGTTTGACTTGTCACTATTGTACTTTTGTAGTTAATGTGATGAAATGAACATATTATATTCTATTCTATTTTCTCATTAATTCTTCCCGATAGTTGTAAAGTTTATCCTTGCATTTGTCCTGTTTTGAATTTCTTACACGTTCTTTGAAAAACATTTTTTGTGAGACAGGTAATTTTTCTTAATTTTCGTGAGTTTTTAACCTTCCACAGTCTGAAAAATCAATAAATCCACATCAACAAAGAATCTGCTCAAGTGTAGTGAAAGACGAATTAAAAAGTTACTGCTTATGTAAACTTCTGAAGGACAAGTCTCATAAGTGGTGATTTGGATCCATGAATTTTGCCTATCAAATAAGATGGATTGTAAAAATAATGAGCAGTAACTCATGAATAGAAGAAAAATGTTTAAATATGTTTTAGGAAAAGATGACCTGAGTTCCGAGGATGATGCTAACAGTGATGAACAAATAGGCCATCGATTTTCAAAACCTAACAATTTCAAGAAGGTACTGGAGTCTGGAGCTATTCCGGATGCTGCAATGATCCACGCTGCAAGAAAACGTAGACAGAGAGCAAGAGAGATGGGAGATTTCATCCCAACAGAAGAGGAGGAGCCAGAAGATAAAGGTCGACACATGAGAGAAGATGAAAATGATGGTAGTGACGAAGAGAGAATAGATATGGACATAAATTTAGCTTTGAGAGATCAGGAACGTAGGAGAGAACAATTCTTAGCTGCTCAAGATTCAGATCATGAAATCGATGAATGGGAAGACCAACAAATCAGAAAGGGGGTAACTGGGGCAGCTATGGAAGCAGCTAGAGAAGTTCTCTTCTCCTTGGAGTGCCCTTCTCCCCCTCAAATCAGTACCCACATTCCTGTTATTGATCCTGGCATTCCTAGAACTCCTCAGATGATAGCTGCCAAACTCCAGGAACAATACGAGAATGTTTATAGATCCCAGGAAAAGCACAAGAATCAGTTACAAAAAACCCAGGAAGATATACAGGAAGTGATGGCTGAGCTGGCAGAACTGAAACTTAAGGCACCTGCTGCTGCTAACCGTTTCAGATTTTATCAGGAACTTAGAGGTGAGTGGTTCCATAATAATTCTGAGAAAGTCATTAAGGATACAAATTATTGAAAATGTCCACAGTAAATACTCTTGAATTCTTTAAACTTTTGTATCAAATGAAATGTTCACGGTTATCGCCATTTTCATTGTCAAAAAATGCATGGATCACTTTTTAATGGGAACATCAAGTGTAACTCAGATCCCAGGTGATTTCGAAGAAATTGATTTATTTACTAGAAAACAGTAGCGAATATCTCAACTTCTCTCGGATCATTTTTGGAGACGATGGATAAAGGAATACCAACCTGTTTTAACCAAGAGAACTAAGTGTTTTTCTTCGTCCCTAAGAAAAGTCAAGGTTGGTAATGTGGTTATCATAGTTGACAACCAGTTTTAGAGAAACACCTGGCCAAAAGGTATCGTCACTGAGGTTCATCAAGGAAAAGATGGTCACATTGGAGTGGTAGATGTTAAAACGTCCATGGGTACATTTAGGAGACCTTTGACTAAGTTGTGCATTCTCGACGTTGACGAACCACATAGTTGAAGAACAGGAGTTCTTCACCAGGAAGAAGTGTTCTTACGGATTATTATTTATTAGTTGGAGATCAGGATTTCTTCAACAGGAGGGAGTGTGTTTCTACGGATATTTATCTGAAATGTTTGTTTTATTTATTTTGCTCATATACTATTAATTTATTAGATTTGAATAGTTGACAAAAATAAACAGACTTGATATACTTGTCAAACATAAAAACAACGTCTTGTCATTCAAAGTATTTTTATTCGATAAACTATTAAAAACAAAGGCAATTTCAAAACCAAAGCTAACCGGAGTCAGAAACCCTATCGATATCAGTCATAATCGGACATTCAATATAATAAAACATTTTCTTATTTTAGGTTACATAACAGATCTTGTGGAATGCTTTGACGAGAAAATAGAGGTAATTGCGAACTTAGAACAACGTGCCCTAGAATTGATGGCTCGCAAGTCAGACTGGTTGATAGAGAGGAGAAGGCAAGATGTCAGAGACCAAGCAGAAGAAGCGACGGTAAAGGGAGGTGTATTACGAAAAGGCAGAGAAGAAGAAGAGAAACAACAAAGAGCTGCCGAGAGGGAGGGCAGAAGGATAAGACGAAGACGAGCCAGAGAAGTCCCCGGACAACCGAAGCATGTTGAAGGTGAGCTGCAATAATATTCATCATACCTAAGTGGGTATGCTGATACTGGTTGTTTTATAGGTATGTCCAGCGATGATGAGATTTCTCCACAGGACAGCCTCCATTTTGATAAGGAAAAAGAGCAGATTCAGACCGAACTGCGAGACATATTTGAGGATGTAGTGGATGATTATTCGTCTGCTGCAAACATACTCATCAGGTTTGAGGGGTGGCGATCAACTGATCTCACAGCCTATACCGAAGCCTATGCGACTTTTTGTTTGCCGAAGGTTGTCGGTCCATTAGTGAGACTCAACCTGATTTTTTGGGATCCCCTGAACGAAACTGTGGAGCTGGAAAAGTTGGACTGGTACAGGACTTTGGCATTGTACGGTCTGCATGACGATGAAACCGAAGAGAGTCTTGCAAAGGATCCAGACATTTTTCTCTTACCAACCATTGTAGAGAAACTGATAGTTCCAAAACTCACCCAACTGGTTGACAAATGCTGGGATCCGCTCTCGAGTTCACAAACCTTGCGACTTGTTGGAATACTAAGCAGGTACATCAGAAGATTCCCCTCTCTCGGGCCTGCGAGTCAACCACTGGAAAACTTGTTCAGCTCAGTTTTACATAAAATGAAAACTTCCTTGGAACATGATGTTTTCATCCCAATATCACCCAAAATTGCTGAAAGCAGGTCCCAGTTTTTCCAGCGTCAGTTTGCAAGCGGACTGAAGCTACTGAAAAATATCACCAGCTGGCAAGGAATTCTCAATGACAACATTCTCAAGGAGCTCGCTCTGACATCTCTACTCGATCGATATTTGCTGAGCGCTCTCAAGTTTTGTATCGTCACAGATGCCGTCCAGAAGGTCAGACTGATAAGTCTCATCCTACCTAGAATTTGGTTTCTAGGAAGTATGCCAGAATTCAAGATGTTTTCTGCAACTGTGCTCAATCTACATCAGCAGTTGGACAAGAATAATCCATTGCATCTGGAACCTCTGGAGACTTTAACAAGTATATTGAAAACATTGAGATCTCAGAGTTGAATGTTATTGTGTAAGTCAAGTTAGAATTTAAGTTAATAAATGTTAAAATAGTTAAAATATTTATTATATTACTTTAAAAGGAAGTATTTGTTACAGTTCTATGATTCCTTATCACTTCCAAATAATTTCATCTATTTTTCTGTATAATCCATATAAATCAGAAGTCTAGACGCAAAAAATTACGTATTAGATTGGTTTTCCCATCAAGAAACGTAACACTCCAGATAAGTCATTTTCATTTTTTATTGTTACTGAGATACCTGGCTTTGCTCAGAGAGTTTTTATGTTTGGTGGTTTTTTCCTTTCAATATATTTAATTTCAAAAAACGTAAAATGGGAAACATTTTCCTAAGTTAACCAACTTTGTTTACTTGTATCCCTACTCCAGGGCAAGTTACATATAATTGTAAAGTAGTTCAAATCTTGTTCGGTGATCGATATGGAAGTTTTGTTTTACAAGTGACAGCCTAGGGAAACCTTTCTAACCTTCGATACTCATGCAGTGAATCTTCTGTCAATCCCATAGATGGCACATTTGTATGGGGAGTAGTCATCACCTCCACTTCTTGATGATAACAAAGCTACTCCATGAAAACTGTTGTTTCAAGGAAACCTGAACCAAATAACGCTGTATAATGGAGATCATAGCTGCCTTTATGTATTGAAAAACAAAGTGATAAGAGAGTGAGAAGTTTAGTTCTGCTGTGGGAAAAGTGTTGGTAACTTCTATCATAACACTCGGGAAAATTTCATTTCATTTTTCATTAGCTTTCAATGTTTCACAAGTACGCAATAATTAATATTCAACTCAACATAATACACAACTGAAAAATCTTTTTTTTTTCTTTATTTTCCTATAGGATCATTTTCAAATACACACAGTTTTTTAATATAATTGTGAATAAGACGAGTTGGCAGGTGAGGTCCTGGCAGTCCTTGGAAAACAATGGATACTTAATTTGTTTTGAGATAGTTTAGGAGGAGATAACGAAAAAGTATGCAAGTGAAGGAAATTCCAGCAGATTTTACATTATTATTTGTGGTATTAGCAGAGCAGATTAATTACTTTTAGTTTGAGTTCCATAGTGGCCATGGAAGTGGACGGAAGTGCCAATAATGTCGGTCCACAAAAAAGACACGCGGATAACACGTGCTATCGTGAAGCTCCGTTTTGTGTTGAGTTCATTGTGGTAATCACTTAAATGTGTTAGGAGTTTTTCAAACAGTGATTAGTAAGAGGCCCCGTTTATTCACGCTAGTATCCAGCTCGGGGTGATTGGATAACTACGTATAGGAGACTGTATATGTGAAATAAAAATGCAACAAGCCTCCCGAGTAGGGGGGCGACTTTATAATGTATAGCTAGACAATTTTATGTCGTGTATATTGAAATATTTGTTATAGGTCTTTATAAAAATCTTCCAAATGGAAGTTATTGTCTCAAAAATAATATAAAATGAAAACAATAATAATAATAACAATGCATATATTGTGCGAGTATAAAAATACACAGACTAGAACTAGTAGACATAGAAAAACATCGAGTTCTGTATTAAGTTACTTTTCCAATCAAGTATAATAAATATTTCCTTGACAGTAAATATATATTTGAAAATTGAAGAAATAAAAAATTACCAATAATTTATTAAATTAAAAATAATAAGTTTATTAATATTCATATATTGCCCAGTTATATAATAAAAAAAGTCAATCATAAAATTATTAACCAGGAAAAATAGCCAACGAATTGAACATAAGTTTGGGATACCTTGAAAGTAATACACGACTTTGAGGCACTCGATTTATAGCAATTGAAAGGAGTGTTATGGATATAAAATTTCATTCTTGATTAATAATTAGAAGATTAAGTGGAAGAGTATAGAAAAAGATCAAAATTATCATATATAAATCAAGAAGTTTATAAACCAAAAATAATGAAACAATTCAACAGTCATCTATAAATGGAAAAAACAACCAATCTGTTAAAAATCAATTTGAATTATGTTAACATACTGAAAATAGTATGCACAATTGAGGCACACAATTACCAAATTACGACAGTACCTCTATATACATCGTTGAAGGATTTGTTTATTTCACACTTAAATACTGATTATTCAAAAATTACCAGGGTAGCAGAGGCTGACATATCTAAATATTTTCTATAAATATGAAAATCATTTGTCACTCTGAACAAGATTATTTCATTAATAAACATATGTGCTTGGTATATTACTATAGCAACAGTCCTCATCAGTTAAAAAATGATGTGATTACTTATGATCTTGAGAAAAGTAAATATTAAAAAAAAGTTAAAGCAAAGTTTGGTTATTTATTCTTTAACCAACATAACAATGACTATATTTGGGACACCAGCGTATCCCCAAAGTGACTAGAAAACCAATTTTTTATTTATTCACGGACATTTTCTATGAATAAATTCGGAACTTCTTATTTATGTAAATATCAGAAAAAGTTTAGTATATTAATACTATACTTATGAGATTATTTTTATCATTCCAAGTTAGGCCATATTTTGATATTAACTTCAATTCATTTTTCCACTGTTTTTTTTCAAATAATTATTTGTTATGGAGAACTGAAATCAATTAATTTTTAATGGCTTCAATTCCCTTAAAAATGAGTTTCAAATGTTTCAAATTGAAAAATGAATTGAGATTTTAATTGATAGGCTTACAAAATATACATTATTATTCATTATATTCTTTCAATTGAACTACATAATAGCCCATTCAGGTAAAAAAACAATATTGAATTTAATATCTGTCAAAAAAGTGATGATGTTGAGAAATGTATATTAGTTCTTTATAATTTTTCACAATCTGAATCAAAAACTAAACCAAGAATGATATCTTTCTTTTCCTCTCTTCAACTAAAAAAAAAGTCCCGTGTGTGACTCCCAAAAAAAAGTTATTCCACAAAAAATATTATTCAGTTCAACCCTATTATAGCTTTTTACTTATTTTGAAAATAAGTATAGTGAATTTTTTTAAAGTAGCAATTCACAAAAACAGATGAAATGTCAATTCATGAACACAAGTTTTTCACATGAATTGGGATATCAATTCATAAAGAGTGAATTTGGCCAACTCTGCATATTTCAAGAAGTCTATTGTTGAAAACAATAAAATTTGTGTATAAAGTTTTAGCAGTAGACTATATCACATAAAAGAAGTATCTCTGGTTTAGGTATTGAATTAATGTTATTAACAAGAATATGTAGGATAATACAAACATTCAAATGCGATATTCAACAAAGAAAGCCCCCACATTCAAGAATGAACAATCCTGAAACCTGAGATAAAATTGTAGCTTTAAATTGAAAGGCATATAGTAGTTAAAATTGACGAGTCAATGTAAAATATCACTAAAGAACAAGCGTAATTTTTCTTTCAATGCTTGACCTACAAAGTGGACATTCAGAAACATTTTTTGAACAATGACAGCAGCAACATATATGACCGCATGGCACAAATATAATCTCGCATTCTAAATCCAAACAAACCACACACTCAGCCGAGCTTATTGCCTTAATGGTATCAGAAATAGGTGCAGACGGTTCCAAGGGCAAAGGAGGAGCAGATGCACTAGCCTCCATTGGTGCAGAGGGGGTTACAACACCAACATTAGAAAATCCACAAGTCTCTTTTTCTTTCTCATATGTCCAGAAAACATCAAGAATGCTCCTGCGTTCTTTCTCGCTGTTCACTCCCGCCTCTAGTAGATCAGTATCAGAGATCATTCTAATATCGCACTGTCTTTGAGTCAGTTTAGCTAAGAATGGCAGGCAATGAATCACTCCATTAACAAGAAGACCTTGGGCCAGTGAAGGAGAAATATTTTTTTGTGCTTCAGATAATCCCTCTGGTAACTTGTCCAATAACCTCTGATATTGTTTCAACCAGAAATCTTCCATGTTTTGGTTGTTGCTTTGTTCCATAATCTGCAGAGTAGAAATTAGCTGAGATCTGCGTTCCTTTTGTTGTTCCAGTAGCTCCATCAACAGTATTGATAAATTGTACCGTTTTTCACAAAAATCGTTCAGCTGCTGATCCATTTGAAGAGTTTTTTTGTCAATTTCTAATTTGGTGAGAGCAGCCAGTTGAGCTTCCACCAATCTTATCTGCTGTAAGATTCCCCAGCTCCTGGCATCACCCCTTTCAAGAAGTGTACCAACCGCAGCTCTTTGTAAATCGCTATCTATTTTGAGTTGGTTTACTAGTTCCATTTTACGTTCATCCTGGCTTTGAAGGATTTCTAGCAATTTCGAATCATCTTTTGTTTCTCGTTCTAATATGCTTCTTGATGATTCAATTCGACTCTGATCAAATTCTTTAAATTTCATTGTTTCTTGGGCTAAAATATCCTCCATTGCTTCTAAGATATCTTCTTTCCTCAAAGTTTCATTATAACGATTGATTGCTGCCAGCATTCTCTCCTCTTCTAATTTTTCTTGTTCGAGGATCTGACCTGAGGGTTCATTGTTCAGAGAAAGTAATTGACTTATAGCCAGATCTGCGTTATTTTCAGCCTCCTGAAGTTGCTCGATCAACCGAAACCTTTCGATCTCTTTACTTTGCTGAAGTTTGTTTAGTTCTTGGTCAAATTGGTTTGACTGTTTGGACAAAACAGCCAAGAGTTTCTCTCTTTTTATTTTTGAAGCGTTGGCAAATTCCTCTTCTTGCTTTCTAAGAATCTCATTATATCTCTCTATTTCTAAAAACTCTTGCACTTTCTGCTGCTGGAAACTACTAGACTTTTTTATTCCGATTGCCTGATCAATGTCGTCTTCACTGATATCTTCACAGGGTGAGTAAGTGAATGGAACTGCTTCGTGTTCACAAATAAATTTCATTATCGATTTTAAACCATTTTGGACAACATCTACAGGAGGAAAAACAAAATCGGCACTATCCAATGCTAAAGAATTGATCTTTTTCCACTTGTAAATACTTTTCGGTAATTTTTTCAACTTATTATTGCTCATATCACATTTTCTCAAATTCACCAAACTTCCAATGTCTTCTGGTAATTGTTTTATTGAATTATTGGAAATATCTAACACTCTCAGGTTTGTTAACTTACAAAAGCTTTCACATATTGCTTTTATATTATTATTCTTGGCATAAAACTCTTGTAAACCTGTCAGTAAATAAATGTTTTCAGGAATCGTTTTAAAGTTATTATCACTAATATCCAAAATTTTCAACAGAAACAGGTCCTTCAAATTTCCCCCTCCTGAGAGTGATGATAAACAGTTATGTTCAAGCCTCAGGGATTCTTTGAGAAACACTCTACAGAGAGAATAGACCCCACTTGGAACGTCTTGCAGTTCACATTCTGATAAATCGAAAATGGGTTCTGGATCTTCACGAGCCAAATACAGTTTATGTTCTAGCTTTGCTTTATTTGCGTGTTTGTTTTTCCTAAACATAATGCCTACCAGTTCAAATAAAGGCGCATCAGGGTGAGAGTTCAATTTATCAATATCTTTGTGGATGTTGACGTTGACATTAGATCTGTAAGATTTTATGTTTATTTTTTTTTATTTTTCTTTCAACCAATGATTCAACGATGTCACATAGTAGATGAAGCATTACTACACAGAAACAGTTTGAAATAACACTTAACAAATTACTTCTTTCTCAACAATTAGCCATTCCAACAAGAATTACATTGATGATTCAAAAAATAAAAAAAAACGACGTTAATAGTTATTCTGGTACCGAAATTGTACCAATAAAACGTAGTTATGGCACAGATTGTTATGGTGACACGTGATAACCTTAAGTTTATGTCGATGGAATAACCCATCTCTTTCATTTCTTCAAAATGACATCTCACAAAATAGAAAACCAGAGATGGTCCCGTGAAATTGTGTATATTAGTAAATGTTTGGATATCCCATAGTGAAACATTTTGAAAAAAAAATTGTACTTACATTAGATGATGAGAAAATGAAAAGAAAATATATACCTAGTACAAATCGTCTTTTATTTACATTGGTTTTTTATATAGATATTTGGAATAATTCATTTCCACTTATTCAATTGTATCGTTTTTGGAAACCATTGAAAGCTTTCTTGACAGGATAAGAAAGTATAGTATTCTTAAAATGTTTAGAAATTGTAGGATACAAGACTATCACAATCACATCACGGAGATGAAGATACGGGTATTTTATCCATCTATAATCTATATTGAGCTAGTTTTGGTAAATTGTACCCAGTTTGACGAATTGTTGTTGATGGTGGGTCCGAGACTGTACAGTCATTTGATATTATGGAACCCATACCTTCTGCAAGGCTTGACAAAAATGTTAGGGGCCCGTTACTTTAATTCCTATATGGGCCCCGTGGTCCTCATATACCACGCTCTAGGAGTGAAATTCGAGATACACATGTTCAAATGATGATACCCGCGTAATAACATTTATTTGATTATATCTAGTTTATCGAAGATATTAGTAGAAAGGACACAGTACATCTGTGCGTAGTCTATCGCCAAGCATGCTTCTGCAGAAAGGCTAGCTGTAACTATAAAGCCGACATGCTGAATCATTTGTTCCGTTACTTGTTGAGAGTTGCTTACAAACCGTCTTCATTCGAATGTGTCTTCTTTATCGTAAAGAAATACAAAACAACTATTTAGTTTACATTTATTAAAACATTTAATAACGAAAGGAAATTACAGTCATCAGACAAGAAACTATTCGCAAGAAAATGTGTCGTACAAGTATGAGGACTCGCAATGCGATGCTTATTTTGCGATATGCGATTCCCAACAAAAATGAGAATATTCGGATAAGCATTTAAGAGCCTTCAACTCACTAGCTTCGATGTCAATCACAAATGAGGAAATTCAAAACTTACAACTTTACAGTCATGTTTAAATTATTTTCAATTGCAAGTATGCATTGAGAATTTACCTAATTGAAATTTGGGTTGAACTGCGTCTCAAGTTTTGCGTGATTCGACGTTTCGACCCTGGCACCATTTTCAAGGACATCATTCTCCATATAAATTGGATTCGATTATTTCTTCAAAACAAACCCTACCAAAAGTACAGGTCATTTCTTGATGCAAGGACCGGTGGAGGAGGACCAGAACTGACCATTGACGTTTCATTGCGTATCAAAGCCGACGAATAAAGAGCATTTTCACACGTCTTCTGTCATTTTTAATACGACATAAGGCTGTTATGGTTCTGCCGAGACTGTTCCTAAAACTGGGGCCACACTAGCGGCTAACGTCAATGCCCATTATCGCGATAATTTTTAACGCGCTAAAGTGGGTGGCTACACTTAATACAGTCAATGTGAATGCCCATGATTGGCGATAAAAACAGCGTTAATTTTACTTGGAAGATAGACGTTGACAGTGACACTGACGTAGTGTGGCCGCTTTATCGAATTAATTCTCGTGTTAATCTCTGATGTACCGCCACTTGAGCTATCGTCTAACGCCAAACGGCAAACTGCCGTTGTCAAATTATCGCGTTAAGTCGTGGCTACACCTACGGGTGACGTCCATTATAGCAATAATTAATGGCATTTCTCGTTATTGTGGCCCCAACATAACAGTCAGAAAACAGTCACCCAACTGAATATTGAACATTGAACTAGTCGCGTAAACTTTTTCAGTCCACAACTGACTCATTGGTTTTATATGATTCGGACACAGCATATTATGTAACAGCATTGTTAACTATGTCACAGACTATTTTGTGATTCGGAACAGTCACAAACCACTTACTCTAGAGTAAGTAGTTTGTGGGATTAGTACAAATTGAGAACCCGAACTCCGAACAGATCTATCTACTGTCACAGTATTTTGTATACAGAAATACTGTGCTACTGTTTAGTATTGCGAACCTCTCGGCGCGAAATATTGTAGATTATGTGAGACTCATTCAAAACTTACAATTATCTATCAAATTTTAGTTTTTTCCTCATAATCTGTTTAAATTTTTTTTTTCGAGCAGGAATAACACTGGTGGTGGTGACTGCCTCACAGAATATTCGAACATAAGATTCGGAATTGAACAGTAAACAATATTTCCTGAATAACAAGCAATGTTATGATTAATACACCACAGTTAGTTAAAAGTCATAAATTATGAACAAAACTACGATTTATAACAAATTGTTTTCAACAAACCATCAGACCCTTAGGAGATTTTTCAGATGATGAAAATATATGAATTAATTTCCACTACGAGACTTTCCCTATCACCTGAGGTTGAAAATGGTTGAAATATAGTTAATTTCTGAACTTCATTCCGCATTCTCGAGAGTCTCTTTGCAAGAACTGGATTTGAGGATTGTAATGAGAAAATCAGCCCGAAAATGTCTGGAGATTTTTTTGTTTATTGTGATTTCTTTCATTCTTGGTTCCATGTTTACTTTGAGTGTGATGCCTATTGACAAAACGTGTATGCTGCAAGACTCGGACAGAGAATACAACGTAATGCAGAATGAAAAATTTAGAAATCCCGAACTCATCATTTTGATTTTATCGGCTCCTGACAATCTCGAAAAAAGAAACACAATCAGAAATACATGGTTGAAATCAATTCCTAATACAAACCAAAGAAGCAATAGGTATGAAAAATTTGTTTTTAAACATTACTTTGTAATAGGTAGTTTGGGGCTCACTGCCACTCAAAACCAACAGTTTATCATCGAACAAATGGAATTTAAGGATATTTTGATGCTACCTCTTCACGATTCCTATAAGAATTTAACTGAAAAAGTGAAACGAAGTTTCCAGTATTTGGATGATCAATACGATTATGGCTTGGGATTCAAGTATGTGCTGAAATGTGATGATGATAGCTTCGTTAATTTGAAAAATCTCATACCTGAGCTAATGAATATTGAAAAAATGTATATTAGTGAAAATTCAGAGAGGACATTAGAAAAAATTGAAGAAAAGAATCATATTTTGTCCCTCAATGTGCAGACTGATGGAAAAATAGCCAAAAATGAATTGAGTTTGTACTGGGGTTATTTTTCTGGCAATGCAAGAATTAAAACCAAGGGAAAGTGGAAACAAAGTGATTGGATTGCCTCTGACCGATATATTCCATATGCTGTTGGTGGTGGATATTTGCTGTCTAAGAATTTGATTTCTTACATTGCAAAGAATGCTCATTACTTGCGGTAACAATTATTTTCAGTAACATTTCAAATAGTTATTTTCATATGTTTACATATGCTTGCTCTTTGGAATATGTATATTAAATGTAACACCATACCATTTACTTGATTTTTCATACAAAAAAAAGGTTCCAGTTTTCATGTTTCTCATAATATAAAGTATCTTAAATGAATAAATTACAAAAAAAACGCGACACGTGTTTTGCTATACAAACCCTGTTATAGTGAAATTCATACAATAAACTGTATTGATTAGTTTCTTTAAAATGGATTTTCATCAAGTATTGCCCAGTTCTATTCAATAATTAAATTGCACTCTGAATGTTGAAACAAATATGGTATATCTATCAATCTAATTATAATCATTGAAAATATACAGTTGTCAGAATTGAGGTACTAACTTGAGAAGTATCTTGTCATGTAAATTGGCGAGATGATATCTGGGATAAAACTTGTATTTGTGATATGTGATGGAATTGGCCGATACTTGATGAAAATCATAAAGTATTCAAATAACACTTTATTGTGAGATTTTCATTGAATACTTTACAAAACCACAACACGAGTTGCTATACAATAGGTCCCTCAGGCTTGTTCTGTTAAAAAAAATCTGTTGAAATGTTTTTCTGTCAACCAGTTGTCACTTCCCTCCTACGAATGACAAGTGTCAAAAATCGAAACTTGTACGAGCTAAGGACTAACGAGGTCTTACCTTTTAACGTGTGATTCATACTGAACATTTGAATACAGTAATCTAGAACACTTGTCCCTCTGTAATATTTAAGGTGAAGAAATGAAATGTTGAAACTAATATCTCACAAATAATGTTTCATATTAATTTTTTTCAGTGTATTTCAAGATTTCTGTATTTATTTGATTGTTTTGACAAAATAAGTATTTTTTAGCAAGAAACCAATTATATAACAACTGCAGTAAGGTAGATTTTTTTTGGTGAACTTTTAAATCCAGTTTTCATAAATTCCTAACCTATTTAGTTTTGACCATTTTCATTAACTTATTATTCTATACTGAAAGGTATAACTGAAACCTGCAGCATAGAATGAATCAAAAACAAACACTACTCTAAAACACTAGAAATGCAATAATCTTCTCTACACAAGTTTCACCAACCAAGTTGGCATCTTCAGGAGATTAAGTAGTCTAATTCCTAACTCACCCCATCTATTTATATCTAACAAGGTAAATTTTTATTTTAAACACAATTTTATACATTTACAATTTTTGACCAAAGGCACCTGAGATAGAGGACGTTTTTTCAACTCTTAATAACAATATTACGTTTACATATGAACTTGAAAATGAGGAGTTACCATTTTTAGATGTATTTATGATTAAAAGTAACTATGGTCTGTAATTTGATGCTGTAGGAAGAATACCTGTCATTTCAGATGTATTTCTGATAATTTGCTTCATTGTCCAAACAATAAATGGCGGGACTAATTTTCTTATATCCCCTCAAGTGAAAAAAGACACTACTTTATCAGGGAAACTTAAGGAGAATCTTCGTGAAATTACACTTTTCAAAAAGGCACTGATTCACAGTTAATTGTTCTTTCTTATGAATTGAGATACAATAACGTATTATATAGCATTTTTAAAAAGTTAAAAGTGAAAGTATCTTTCAAAACTGCTTCCTCACTTCATCAAATGTTAGGTAATCCTAAGACAAGATATTGGAAAATTAAAAGTCACAGATATATGAAATAACTTCTGAGGAATGTGACCAAAAAGTATATAGGTCAATCTAAACAATATTGAATTAAAACTTGTTTCAAAGAATATGCAGCACATATTTGATTTCGGAGATCAGAAAAGTTTAATATTGCTTAACATGCCTTGGAGAAGGTCCATGGAATAAATGAACACTGTCTAAAATTGTTGTCGGAAGTTTGTAAATAATAAAGTGTGGGATGAGAACTATCAGCAGTGACATAGGTCCTACTCCAAATATCCCATTGTTCAACTCTATACGGATCAATCTGGTAAAAATTATCGTAAACTTTCACAAGAGATAGTTCCGCCACTTTGTACCTAACAAATCATTAATGTGTATTTGAAAGTGAAAATAACTAGGTGGGGGTTAGAATCAGGAATTAGTCCACTTATTCCCCTAAAGACGCCTAATTGGCTGGTGCGTTGGGAAGAGTGTTGCAATTCTGCTGTTAAGAAGCAGTGCTGGTGTTGGATCTAATTATGTTATTTTGTTTTTATTTATTATAGTTATATTGTGTAGACACCTCTTTTGATTTTCTCTTTTAGTGAATGATTTTATTTTCAATAAGTGAAATAAATTTTTTTTTTGGTGTGTTATAGGTCTTTCAACAACGAGGACGTAAGCGTTGGATTCTGGTTGGCACCAGTGAATAATGTCCTTCGTGTACATGACGTTAGATTTGACACCGAATGGACGTCAAGAGGCTGCAAAAATAGCAATCTTGTTACCCACAGTATATCACCTTCTGAAATGGTGAAGCTTTTCAAAAACTTAGTGAATAGTGGACTGATGTGTTTGGAACAAACGATGAAAAGAAAGCATTACCTGTATGATTGGAAAGTTCCTCCCAGTCAATGTTGCAAGACTGGTGATAATGTAATCAAATTAACAGGCAATTGAGGGGTATGAATGTGTTTAGTATGTAAGTTTCACATGTAAACAAAGGAAATGTGAGTGGTTATTCAAATTTATTCATTAAAGATGTTAGAATATTTATAATCCTAGCAACTTTCTTCTTCTTTATAACAGCAACACGTGTGAGCTTAGGATTAACCTACCCTATCCCCTATACCTTATCCTTCAGAAATAACTTATCAATAATAAAGGCTAAAGGACAAATTAAATCAATAATGTTGATAATTTTAAACCAAAATATTTCATCAGATCAGAACTTCATAGAGGTGGAATGTTGCTATAGAAAATATCAAAATGAAATCAGCTTAGTTTAAATTCAGCATGCTTGAAAAAATAGATGATATCATAGTCCAAATCAACATGGATAATCCAGAGTAACAAAAGGTGATGACAATGACCCCATTTATGTCATTGAATTGTCTCTATTTTTATATATTTTTTTTGTTTTGTATTATAAGTGACTGACTGTACTATCAAGAGCATTATTTGCTAATAAAGAGTAATAATATAATTATGAATCAGAATTCAGCTTAGTTTAAATTCAGCATGCTTGAAAAAATAGAATAATATAAAAATTAATTCGAATTATTGTGATAATCGATTCGATATCTCGAATTATTATGATAATCGAATTATCGATTATTTTTAATTCGAATTAGCCCATCACTATACAGGAGACATAAAATGAAACAACAATATGAATTATATGCTACAAAATTTAATCAATGTGAATAGAACAATTTCCTTTATTTTAGATATTATCAAACTAAAATATCAATCAATTCAGACAAAGTCTACATTATCAATTAGCTAAAGGTTGATAATGAAAGGTTTCTCAAAAGTAATCCAAATTATAAAATTAACTTTGATATTCAAGGAATTTGAATGAAGTCAAATGCAAAACTATTAGCTAAACAAACAGGACAGGTACAAAACTATTTATATTATTGTAGTGAAACAAATTTTCTATACCTAAAACAATGGTAATATGAAATACTCAACTAATAATTTGAGAATTTCCAATTCAATAGAGATCATAATTGGCAAGAAATCTCTAATTTGCATAAGTTACCATGGAAATAACCGAAACCTTCAGAACAATACCGCTTCTAAAAAGATCTTGACGGTAAGACTGATCTACTGAAGAGAAACTATAAGTACAAGGTATTATCGCCATTATCCCAGTGGCTTTTTCTTGCCTTCACCTTTTTTACATCCCTATTTCTTGGAGGTGTATTTTCACACTGTATATCTCCCCGTCTTACCTTATCTCTGAAAACAGGGATTTTACTGACGGCATAATCTAACTTTCTTGGTTTATCACTAACTTTGAGCTTTGGTTTCATTGGTTCATTTCCATTGCAGTTCCTCAGAGGTGACCGTACAACAGTATCCTTCAATTTAACTATTCTAGGACAAACCACTATATCTTCATCTTCATATATGAGATTGGTGAGTTTTTTATCTAATTCTTTAACATTTGCGGTAATGTTCACCATCGGTGGGGTTGCCGGGGCAGATTTTGTTTGCTTTTCTGCCAAAATGGGACTTATAGGCCTAACTATTTCGGGAGGTGTAACTGGAGCAGATCTACTTTCAATCTCTGTGTCTATGTTTTCGGGAATGCTTGGATTATTTTCGTGCAAATTATCATCTAGCAATTCACATGTTTCTTCTTCATTCACTTTCTCATAAATGTTTCTGTCGCTCACTGAACTAACACTGCACTCATTTTGGCTATTCTTATCATCCACAATAGATCCCTTACTTTCTTCTTCAAAATCTCCTTTGGTTCCTACCTCGTTCAATCCATCCTCAACTTTTTCTAATATTTGAATAGGTGTTCTATGGAAATCTATGCTGGGTGACCGGGGGTCCATCACACTGATTATAGTTTTATTCTTTATAATGTCATCCAAATTTGTTTCAGTATAATCAATATTAGTCTCGAGCAATCCTATTAGTGACTTTCTTTTATAATTCTCCTGCCTCAGTTTTATGGGACTACTATCAATAAGTTTTGGTGAGATACTTTTTTTTGTACATTCAGAGCTTGTTGTTTTTTCCAAACCAGATTTAGGCGTGCTGTAGATGGATTGACGAACTTTGTCTAAGTTTTTGTTGTGTAGTTTTTTCGGAAAGTCGCTTTCTTCGGTAGAAATAATTATAGGAGTCCTTGTAAAATCTACTGCAGGGGATCTAGGGTCAATTCCTAATATTATTTTTTCTTTGGGAGTTTGGTTGTTAAAAATATTTGAATCTGATTCTGCAAGATTTTCAAGCTTCTCAGAAACTGCTGATAATAGCTGCAACAAATAATGGTATCCACTTGAAAGAAAGTCATTACAAGCAAATGAAAGCATAATCACAGGTATTTACAAAAATAAAACACTTAATACCAACTAGAATGGCATAGATATATTTGTACTTTCATAGATTTTTTTTTAAATCATTGAGAAAAGTATAAAATTTAAATTCCAAACTAAAAAAAAGTTTCATTTTGGTTCTCGGAAACAATGATTATGACGATTTCGTTGCCTTTGTCAAGTGTCTTGATTCTGATATTGAGAAAATAAAAATTTGGTTCGATGCAAATGAGCAGATTCTAAATTTATTACAAAAACAAACTGGCAACAACTTTCAAGATGAATTTAGAAAAAGAATTAAATAACCATCTGATTGATAAGACATTGAGCTTGCTAAAAAAATATAGAGAACAAAAATTTAGAACTTCATTCAAAGGAATTTCACAGCCTGGCGGAATATTTCAACTACTACCTTGTGTATTTTATTCATACTTTGCCACTGAGTCATCTTTTTTACGATGACAACATTTTATGTTCCTCAACACCCATATTTACAAAACTGGCTAAATGAGGAAGACTTTCACCTGAATTCAATTTTATAGCATTCAACCATGAAATTGGGTTTTCATTTTCAGCACATTTTTACTCTTTGTATTTTTAAAATTTAAGTAGTTTTGATAAAATGCTCATAAGACATTAACTTCATAAGAGGTCGGAATAACTTCCCAAAATAATTGAAAGAATGAGTTTTCTGATCTGTTTCTGTATAGCATGATAAAAGGTAAAACTGGAACCGCTGATGTAGAATAAATCCATAACAAGTACTTATCCCAACTACCAGAACTGAAGTATCCTTCTTGACACACGTTTACCAACCAAGTAGGCATCTTCAGGTAATGAAGAAAACAGTTTTCTTTATCTCTTGAAGACGCCAACTCGATTGGTGAAAAGCACATCGAAAAGTGTATTGCAGTTCTGGTGATTGGGAAAAGTACTTGTTTTCGATTGTATAGCCTGTTGAATCTGGTCTATTTCCTACTTTGACTAAACTTTGCTTGAAACACTTTAAATTAAGATCAATCTATGAAACATAATTAGTGATTTTACATGTATAATTCAAAATACTGCTCTACACGTGGATCACTCAACATGATAAGGTAATGTTAGAATTTGTAATTCAGGAAATGAAGGTGATTGGATTATGATGACTCTCATACCTAAACAATATTCACCGATTTTTTCACATCACCTTTAAATTAATGTTAAAAATCAAAATCAATGATTACAGTGAAGATAGTGAACAATTTTCACTTCTATATTCAATCACATATTCAAATTCTACATAATTACATGATTGGTATACTTAATCTTTACCCGAACTAGTGGTAGATTAGTCCTATCCCTAATTTCACTAATAGTTACCTCCAAGGGAGTTCTCGAAATATATGCATTTGGAGAACGAGGATCTAGCTCGTCGGTATTTACTTTCGTGGGAGTCGTGAGAGGCGTCGAAGGCTGGATTTCTTCTTGCGGTTCACTTTCACAGATTTGTTTTTCTATTTTGCTATTGACTAACCCCATTGTTAATGTTTGTTCACTAAATAATAACCACTTTAATTTATTTGATTTTATTATGAAAGTTTTTTTTTATTACTTTAAAATCCACCTCATTTCTGGCAACTTTTATACAGCTACACCAACGTCTATTGTGTTTATTTTATAGTTTATATATGATTTGGATTGATTTCAAACCCAACAACCGTTGAAATTTGAAATTATTGACAGTTGACAGCACTACGTGCCTACGATCACAGAACACCTACATTCTTGTCATGTTCTGTGCCAACGTCTACAAACGAAATATATCACTGAATGTACCTTATTATATTATCAATCGTAAATACAGATGGCCTCTGCGATATCTGTCTGAAGAAACCATTTGAGAGGTTTTTGAGACTTTTGATTACTTGCATGATCTATCATAGTACTTACATAGATATATGTACCACCACAATAGCTGATGCTTTTCTTTTCAGCGAACTATGTTTGACTAAAAGAACTTTCACTCCAGTGAATTTTATGGCACTCGAATTTTAACATTCTTATATTAGTTTCCAGCCATTGATAAACGATAAACCATATGGCTGCTTAGGTCAGGGATAGGTCCCTTGATCGTACTGAACTTATTATATGGTTTCTTCGAACTGTGAAGAGTCTGTAATCAATTACTGCTACGTTTATTTCAATTCTTCAACTCCCAAAAGTATTCAATCTGATTATTTATTCATGAAATGAATGAAATTCATTTTTTAAATCAATATAAGTTAGCAGTGTGAGACCAAGAAAACATGAAGTTTTAGAATAAATGAAAATACCTAATAGTTCATTGGCTAAACTGTAATTTATGGGATACGGATTTTCGCGATTTTTTCTGGGGTGATACTACATGATGGTAAGAATTCAGAACAACGTTTTTTAGTCGGATCCACTCTTTCATTGCTTTGTGCCAAAAACTTTTCTCTTTTGGAAACGCATGATGAGTAATATTATAAAGAACCTTTTGCTTAGAGAAATTTACAAAAACAAATCAACGAACATTTTGAAGATCGAAAGCAAGCAAAACATTGTCACAAAATACTATATGGCATACAATATAAATTATGTTATTCCATAGCGCAAACAACATTACCATGTCAAAATCAAATCAAAAATTAAACCACTGTAGCAAGGAAACAAAATCGCAATCTGTGACGAAATGTAAAGAAATCTGCCTGATCAATAGAAAATGTAGCAGTTTAGACATAATTTGTGCAAATCGATATGCTTGTTATAAAACTTTAGTGAATGTTTTCCTCACTGCTGGTTGCATTGGTCTGCCCTCAGCTTGAAATAAAGGCAATGACATCAGTGTTTTACTGTCCTCCATTTTGAATGCTTCATCCGGATTACATTGCAAAATAGAGAAAAGTCCAATATCCTTGTTATGTATCTACACTTCCCACATAGACCAGGCTATTTCATCAGCGAATCGAATGTTGGGCTTTATTATAAGGAATACCAGAGAATTCAAGAATATTAATACGATTATAACACAGTTTAATGCCTATGTGAGGTCTAAACTAGAATATGGCGTGTTGATATAGTATCCAATTTACAATTGCCACATACATCATATTGATGCTGTTCAAAACATTTTTTTTTAAATATCTGTCCTTCAAGGTCACAGGAATATAACCTCAGAGGGGAACCGACTATTCTATCCTTCTGAATCAATTTAATGTAATATCTCTGAATACACGACGACTTTTTGTCACAATTTCCTTTCTTCACAAACTGCTGAACAATAAGATCTCGTGTGCCCCTCTTCTAATAATGATCAACTTCCGCACCCCACGCCTTAATTCCAGATACCAAACGACATTTTACTGTGATCTTGTCAGAACAAATAACAGTTTGAAAGCACCAGTGTCAATACTTTGTAACAACTATAATTCAATATGTGATATGTGCGATATTAATCACAGTTCTCAAAGTTTTATTTTTAAATGAATTCTCAGTAGAACCTTTTAACTGTGATCACTTTTTCTTGTCGCTTCTTGTGATATATTTCTATTTCTACTTATTTTTCTTTTAGTTGTAGCAACTTTTTTTAACTAATTATACTGTTTTGCATATATTTTCATCAAAACCTTTGTACATTTCCTGTAATTGGGCGAATGCCTATGATATATTTCTATTTCTACTTATTTTTCTTTTAGTTGTAGCAATCTTTTTTTTTACTGTTTTGCATATATTTTCATCAAAAGCTTTATACATTTCCTGTAATTGGGTGAATGCCTGTTGGAAATAAAGTGCTATCAATCAATGAGTTTATGATGCCAGAAAGTGAGACATATGGGTTTGATGTTTAAAACAGTATTAGTTTTGAAGAAAATTGTATTACAAAAAGATATATCTCATTATTAACGATATATTCTACAAAGTTTTGATAAAATAAATACTATTCTGGTTTTGAAATTCCACACCTGACTTTAAAACTTCACTTTCAATAATTGTTGTAATGCCAATACTATTACTGATCAATATATTGCTTTGAAAAAATGTCAGACAAGCTGCTGAGAAGAGCACTAACAGCATCATTTTGCACATTGGATGATACAATTGTAGATTCTTTTATCTGCTCCATGTGGTCCATTGAAATTTTAATGTCTTTTGCTAAACTATTAATTCCATCGAAGTCCCGACCAGATTTAATAATTTTCATCAGTGTTGATTGAAAATTTTCTAAAAACTTAAATAACTGATCATATTCCTCTTGGGTTTTTATTGGTTTAATATTCTTTAGAATGACTTTATCACATTCTGAAGTCAGTAGTTTGGAAAACTTCTCAATTAGACTGTCCATTTGGTAAGCAGTATATAATGTCTTTATCGTTTCCAAATTTTTTTGTATAGTATTCATCATCACAATTATATTTTCCTTTTTTTCAAATGATTCAATCTCATTTTTGATTTCTTGGTAAACTAAATTTCTTTTTTCTATATTTTCATATTGAAGTACCATCTGACCATTCAGGATTTTCGTTTGCTTGTCTATTTCCCTTTCAACGATTTCCTGTTTCATCAAAGCCTGAAGATAATCATTGTAGGCAATATCACACTCGGTCTCTAAAGTTTGCGACAATGTATGTGTAGCAGATATTGCAGTTTTCATTTTGGGAAGCTCAGCAGTAGTGCATACTGTATCATTCAAGTGAATCCCTTTAGCACCAGGAAACCTTTTAGATGTACTACTTTTGGAGACAAATAAAGATGCATTATGAGAGGGAGTTCGAACTCGATCATTTCTCTTCCTACCGCTATCCATACCTAATTTTTGTTCATTAAAAAATGGATTTTGTATTCAAATTGGCTAGAACCGTTACTGAATTTCAAAATAAAAACTTACAGGTTAGCTGTCAACAGTTTTCGTCTTCTTCTTAAAAATGGGTCGAATCAAGGATACTTTTTCCATTGCCCTGATAACCCTCAGTTGTTGAAGCGTGCGAGCCAAGGTTAACGAGACCCTTTTATAATGTTATTTTAGAACGACAGAGTTGAAGGTCCGTCCAAAATTTTCTTTGAGATTCATTTAATTAATAAATGATTGAAATCACATATACATGGAAATCGCTCTAGTAGTAGCACTTACAGATTGGAAAGTGCATGTTTGCGAAATCAAAAGCATAGTTCCATCCGAAAATCTGACGATCAGAAAGTTCACTCATTAGTACAAATATAAACTTTTATAATAATTATTATATTTATTGTGTCATAATATACAAAATTACATATAAATTTACGAAAGGACCAACTACATTCAATGAAGCCTAAATACAGGTGAAAAACATATGATACAAACAAACTGACAGGATTAAAATTTGTTAGTATGTATCGAATTCAGCTGCCCATTTAGGATGGCCTCTATATGATATTATTCACCAGAGTAGGGGCAAATAAATTACAATATTCTGAGGACATATTTTTCGACAGATAAGGTACTGAGTGAGAAAAGGATGTTTTGAAAAATGAGGAATGATGAAGAGGAATATAATCATTTATTTTCCTCTGTGATCTGTTGTTAATGCCCTCCTCTCGAACTTTTTTTGAGGCAAGGTACTTGGGTGTTTCAGTGGCCAAATTTTGTTGACAGGACAAGCGTAGTGAAGAAAACGCTTTTCATCTATTTCCAGATGAAATAAATTTCTTCTAATTTCCACTAAGATTTGTATTTGTTACGACCGGCTTCAGTTTATTAAACTGACAATTGGAATTTTATCAGTTATTCATAAGTTATTTCCAAAGTTCCTATGGTAAAACTTGTTTTCAACAATTTACAATATTCACATAAAACTGGTTGTTCATGTTTAAGTTAGTTTTAGGCGTTTCATGATTGCCCACACCGACATATGAAAATCCTGAAACATGTAAAATCATTTTTACGTGAATATGGTCAATTAGATTCCAATGAGATTTACCAATGAATGTATGTCCATTCAAAATGTTCGCAGAAACAGCCCATTTTCTGAATTTTCAGGGTTGAGTTGAAAAACAGTTTTAGCTGACACTTCGTCCTTTCGTCACAAGGTTTTGTTCCATTAATGTAAATATGTCTAATATCATTACGATCTGAAAGATGAATGAATACTACTACTACTAAATAAGATATCCTTCATCTCGTGCGATAAATAGAGTCGATTATTATTATTTTGTTATCCATTAGTAACTTTTTACTCCATCAAGGTCAAAGCGAAGTGGACAATTCCTATTGTAAATAGTTTTTGCAACACTGGACAGTAACCACCAGTGGCGGAGGAATGAACGACAGAATAAATTAAATAAATAATGACTAATAATGAGAAGTTATAGTTGATTTTATTGAAATCCCCATTTCTAACTTGTGATAATATATTTTAAAAAAAATCAGAGTTTACTTTGAGTATGGGAAAGTTTTGTTCATTAATTTATACCGTAAGTGTATTGCATACAGAAACGCTTTACAATCAAGACCCCCTTTTCTTGAAGAAGTGAAAGTCTGCATATTCAGTAGCACGACTTTTCTTCAAGTTTAAAAAAATGACCGGGGTGAAACGTGTCACATTATTGCTGACCAGTAAAATATTGCTAATATTGTGCTTTTTGAAAACCTCATCACTGCAACAAGCTCCTATAACAGTACCATGGTATGAAAATCTGCCAGCTGTTGCAATGGACTATAAAGTACATATAGATCCTGGTAAAGAAGACTGCTATTTTCAATATGTTAACCCAGGGGCAACCTTCTATGTGAGCTTTCAAGTTGTTAGGGGTGGTGATGGAATGGCAGGGTTTGCAGTAAGACATCCTTCTGGTCAAATAGTCCATCCTTACCAGTGGAAGCCCAATAGTGAATATCAGGATCAAAACTCTATGGGCGGGTACTATTCGGCTTGTATAGATAACCAGTTTTCTAGATATGCAGCAAAATTGGTGAATATTTACATTACCGTCGTTCGATATGATATGTGGGACACATTTACCAAGGAAATTGAAGAGGTAAACATGAATATGGAGAATTTCACCACTTCGATTGTGGGAGTTGAAAGGAATATCAACGAAATGCTTCAGTACCAGCACCATTCGAGAGGAAGAGAAGCTTGGGACTATAATTTGTTGCAAGATAATAACTCATATGTTGTACGTTGGTCACTTATTCAGATTATTATTATAATTGCCACAACAGCTGTTCAGGTTTATTTTGTTCGTAAATTGTTTGATATTAAAAGCGGGAGAGGATCAGGAAAGTCACGAATATAAATTTCGTATAATTGTAGTTAAGACAATTAATTTAACCATTTCCATAATTTCAAAAACAACATCATTCATACTTCAAGTTCAAACTTTTGAGTAATTTTGCAATGTAATTAATGTTTAATTAGTATCTACAAAGAAGTACAATCAATGTCCTTCATCTATATTTATTATTTAAACACGAAACACATTTAGATACATTTTTTGTTTTCTGTGAAAATTGTAGCTATAATTTGTAGAAAAAAACATGAAAAATGAGAACTAAAGTTACTATGGATCTTCATCAAGTAACGGCCGAATCAATCAGAAAATTAAATTTGCTGTCCTTATAGGATGAAACTGCAGTAACATTAGTTACAAATACAAGTGGTATAAAAACATAGGAAGTTTTAATTTTCATTTTTCATGTTGATCTCCATTTACCAAAAATGATGAAAGCTGTCTGTTGACTCTCTTACTCTTGATGTGCAAATTACACGAGGCTATTGTGGAAAAACTTTTGTGAGATGTTGGATTTATATCTATATTTTTGTATACTTTCATATAAAAATGAATTTGAGATATTTTTTTAAAGTTTTATATTTGATGTGATGTTATATTCTGATTGTTATATTTTCTGAAATATTAACTTTGTTACATAAGTATGGATGTAACCAGACTGGTCTTGAACGATGAAAAGATTTACTTGTAGGAATATTTCTTCTTCTCAAGTTGATGGAAATCCTTTTATACATGTTATCATGAGGTAGAGATAGTTATGAGTCGCCAATGAAAATGTTTTGTGGCACGATCTGTCTTATTAATTAAAAAGTTTCGAATATTGTGAAATAGCAATTTTATAAAATTTTACTTTATTTTTATAATTCTATTTCAATTTGAAAAAAAATATACCTATATACAATTCAGTATTTTATTTCATCTTATTTTTTATTTACATTTTTATTCAAGCTTCTGGATTTGAAATTAATTCATGTTTCATATACTTTATTTAGTGAGTATAGTTATTTTGAAGAGTATTTATATTTAAATAATGCCTTGTGGGATTTTCACAAATATGGTCATTTTGGATTTTCAGAGAACAAACGATTGCATTATTAATTTGAAGAATATTAATTTTATCATACCTCATATTACTTTCTTAATCATCGTTTTACAAGGTTTAAGGAATGGGTATGTTTTTGGAAGTCACTGAAAATGAGACTCATTCTACCATTAACCATAAATCCTTTTATAAGATGCAAGGACAGAATATTGTAGGAATACATTGCCAAGTAGACTGTTAGTTGAATTTATGTATACAAATATGCTAAACAGCCAAATAGTGTGGGAATAGAAAATTAAATTGAGGTGAAAAAACATACGGATATTGCTCAGTTTAGAACGAATAAAAGTCTACAAAACAACATTAGTGAAGAAAAAGTCAAGAAGCGATATTATTTCTAAATATTCAACCACTTTTGTTTTAAAAATGACACATTACAATTCCGAGTAACAATACAATCTTCCAACCTAGTACTTATCTAACATATATTCAGTATAAAAATTAAAATGTATAATTCATGATCTGAGTGGATCATTCAATATTGTTGAATGCAAAACTATCACTAATGAACTGGAACTCCAGAAATGTATACAATTGTTGAATGAAAAATGTAAAACAAGCCATCACAGAAGCACTTTCTATGCAAATTAACTTTTGTACCATTGTTATTAATTTTGTCAATGGTATGACCTTTACTCGACAGTTGGCATTGATATAAGTGGATCATTCAATATTGTTGAATGCAAAACTATCACTAATGAACTGGAACTCCAGAAATATATACAATTGTTGAATGAAAAATGTAAAACAAGCCATCACAGAAGCACTTTCTATGCAAATTAACTTTTGTACCATTGTTATTAATTGTGTCAATGTTATGACCTTTACTCGACAATTGGCATTGATATATTTGCAGATGACTGAAATTTTTAGTAAACAAAGTCAATCAACTATTACTGAAATAAACAGAGAAAAGTACTGACATTTTTTTGTCTTTAAACTTCTCCATTATTTGAAAAATAAAACATAAACAACGACCCTCGAAAATAGAAATTTGTGCGAGCCAAGGATTGATGAGGTCTTACCTTTCAACGTGCGATTCCTAGCACGATTCAGTTTATATACCAAACATTCTTAATGTAATTGAAACAAATAATATACAAAGGAAAGCCACACAACAGGTTTTTCCCAAAAATAATTATTGATTCGCGTTTTTCCCAATAACTAATAGTGCCTAAACATTCCTTTTCAATAAGTTGAAGGTATTACTCTCGAAAGTGAAAACCGTGAAAACAGTTTCAAATCACGAAGTACTCATTTAAAATTAATGAGTCGAATGGGGAAGAGTTAGGAATCATAACTATAATTTCCTTCTAGTTCTTCACTTCAAAATCAAAACTAACATGTTCAACACAACAAAATTTGACCCAAACTTTCACGTTTCCATACGTTCAGGTAACCCTTCATTTGATGAATATAGCCACGTGACATAGTGAAAACTGTATATCTTTTAAAAACTCATGCTTACATGAGTTTTTATTATAACTGGTTGAACTCAAACGCTGCATTCATTACCCTGTCCAATACCACGGTTGAGGTAAAAACAACTGACTAGCATTTTTTACAAAGGCAATGTTTTCAGGCTCTGGTTTTATTCAAATAGGGTTGTTGATATGATACGTTTTAGTTAACTTTTTCTACCAAATTTCAACTCTATTGCAGTCTTGAGGCAATGAAACAATAAAAGTTTGCATTGTTTTATACTGCGTTTTAATATTTCAACTCTTGATTTGTTATTGAGGAACACTATTATGCTCTGTTCCTGAAAGTACACCTCAAAGTTCCATACTGTTTTACAGGAATTTCACTTTTAATAAACTGAAAAATAAATGTTGATCTGTTTTTAAAAAATTCTGTTTTTCCGTTAACCAGCTGTTGCACCCTTATGAACGACAACCCTCAAGTCGAAACTTGTACGTGTGTATGAAAATCTTCACAAATGTAATAAAAAGCAAATTGTAAAGTTCACCCTACTGTGTAAACCTTTGAAGAGTGTAATTATTCACTAACTTGATGTATTCAGTGATTTGAAAAAAACAATTTTCACTAAACGTTCTAAAAATGGCTAGCATTTCAGAAAGAAGACCATTTGTGTTCTCAAAATTTAAAAGTTATTGATGAAAAACTCTTCGATTGAATACGAGACTGTTCTACTCAATGTACTCTGAGTTATAAAAATGTTTACAAGTGGTCAGGAAGATGTGAATGACACTCGCCCCAGCTCGGTAACAACTTATGGAAATGTGGAGAATGTAAAGGCAATTGGTATGGAGAATCGTTATCAGAGAAGTTGCTAATGTTGTCGACTTATCGGTTGGCTCATGCCATGCATGAAGCGTGTGGCAGCAAAGTTCATTCCAAAATTGCTGAATTTTGACTAAACAAAAAAAACGTCGCATGAGCATCGCTCAGGAATTATTGAATGACGTCAGCGTCATTCCAGATTTGCTTTAAAAAAGGTAATCATGCCTTAGCTGGCGTATTCACCAGATTTGGCCCCCTGCGACTTTTTCCTGTTCCCAAGATTGAAGAGATCCATGAAAGGACGGCGTCTTGCGACGATTGAAAAGATAAAAACTGAATAGCTGAGAGAGCTCAAGGACGTACCAAAAAGTGCCCATCAGAACTGCTTCAAGGATCGAAAAAAACGCTCAGGGGGACTACTTTGAAGGAAAACAAATAGAAATTGACGAAGAATAAATATTATCATATACCATAAATGAAGATTCACCTCATAATTTGAACAGACCTCGTTTATGTGAATTTCTTTTCATCATTGTTAAAAGATTCTTCCTACGTGAACTTTTCAATTCATCCTCAATCATACTTGAGCAGATTCTCCGTTGATCTGGATCTATTTATTTTTCAGATTAATTAAGGAAAGAATCTTGACAGCTTACAAACATGTAGCAATAATGACTCCTGCACAAAAAAATTATTTCAAAGGCCCCAATCTATTGTCAATTAATGTATGTAAATCATAGTAAAAAAATATATCCTCAGTCGAACATGCAATACAAAACATGATAATAAAAATTTTAAACAAATTGTTTGGAATAAATATTTAGAAAAGATCATCTATTGTTGAGCGTCAAGTTTTATAAAAACATCATAATACTTGATATAAGTATATTTGTGGTAAAATTGAATAACTCTTTGAAAATAACAAATCACAAAGAATGTAGGCTGCTTTTATTCCACCCATTTTAGAATATTCACTATACAATCAATCATCATCATCATCGGATCCTTTTTTCACTTCCGTTTCTGTAGATTCCTGCTTATAGTGTCTATACTCAGGCTTCAATTCCCACATGTTTTTGTGAGGATTTTTCAAGTTATAGTTACACACTTCCTTCAAAATTTCTTTTAGATATGTAATGGGTTGTTTGGTAATTTTCACTAAATCTTTGATGTTGTAATACTGATGTTTCTCAAATGCAGCAAACAGCATTTCAAGAACAGAATCCTTGTCATCACGAGCCTTCTTGCCCTCGGCTTTTTTACGCTCCATGTACTCTATCTGAAAAAGAAATTAGAGATATAATTAATAGTAGTAGTAATACAGAGAGAATATGCTTTATTGTATACATGTGTGGTCATTGTTCAAAGCGCATCAGAAATAACAAGACAAGAAAATAATAAAAAGAACATAAGACTTAAATCGTCAAGCTTACATTCAAAAGTAAACAGATTAGTTTTTTAACATTTATAAATTTTGGTGGTGTCTTCATTTACCATTTTATTTAAATACAGAAATTGTAACTGTGCCAGATAATGGATGGACAAATTATGTACACCTGACATATGTATAGTTGTTAAATCATTAACAAACAATAAAAAAGAACTGGACTTGAAACAGATCTTTGGTAAACAACAGATCTAATATTTTTCAATGAAGAAGACTCAGCAGTCTTGGACAATTTGATTCATATTCAATAAATAGAGCTAAATGTTTGTAGTACATGTACTTAGTAGGACTGAATATGTATGTTCTCTAAAACTTTAGCAGTTCAAAAAAAAATGAAACTGGAATTTCTGGCATGGAATGCCCAAACAAGCACTGCTCCCAGATACCAAAACTGCAACACTCTTCTCGAAACGTGTTTCTCCAACCAACTTGGCATCTTCAGAAAATGAAGTAGTGTTATACCTCACTAATTTTCAACAACTAATTTCTACAAGAAATCATAAATGTGTGCCTAAAAGTGAAAGTACACCCTGTTAAATATAAACCAGGTTTAGAGTTAGGAATTAGTCTACTTCATCTCCTGAAGACGCCAACTTGTTTGTTGAAATGCACACCGGTAAAAGTGTTGCAGTTGTGGTGATTGGACATTGCAGTTAAAATTCTGGAGCAGTTTTGTAACGTCAATGCAATAAAACAACAGTAAATGAATGATAAAAAAAAATTGAATACTTACATTATTCTTATGATCAGACACTGGTTTATAACTCTGAACAACTCTGTCCAGCTGCTTCACTTGTCTGGTTGGTACAGAAGCTTTACGTATTGACTCAAGTTTCAGTTTCATATAACAAGTATCCGCATATGGTCTACACTCTAGTTTTTGAACTATTTTACCCTCCAAATATAATTTCTCTGTCTCAGGTACTACAGGATCGACAACTGTTGCTGAAAAAGGTAGAACAATTTTCTATAGAAATTTTTGATAACTATACTGCAGGTCAAAAAACTGGAGCAACGAAAATTTTGTAACTTCATAACTTTTGATGAATTCGTTGAATTTTTTTCATTTTATAGAATTGTAGACACTTTGTCACATAACTTGCAAGTGCCATTATGTTAGTGGTGTGGTCTCTTTTTCTCAACACGTTGCCTGCAAAATTCACCACAACACTGATACAACAAGGCACTCCACGTTGTGTCATATTGACAATTCATTATCAAGTACAATACAATACAAAAATCAATGTATTTGAATTCCTAGGTTAAAATTTAGGAAGCTTTCAATAGTAACAAAATTTTGGTTGCCCTAGTTTGTTGAGCATCAATGTATTTGTAGAAAACTTCCAATAAGCTAAAATAACCATTCAGATACTTCTCGTACACAATACAATGATTACTTACGTACAGCGTGAGAAAACACTCCCAAAGTTTGTTGAGTTACTGTTGAGACATCTAATCGGTGATCTTTAGGGATGCTTTCTTGTCCAGGTTCGTTCAAATTAAGAATTGCCGTGGAAAGAGTTAAGGCAACCTGCGCCTTTTGTCCTGATGGTCTAGAACAAAGTTGACATACTTAATAATTTTATTATGTTGAAATAATTCATGAAAGTTAGGGCTATCTATTATATGGATATCTTACTTTGTAATTTTCAATTTTCCTACTTCCATTTCTCCAGGAGCTTTCTCCCATCGTTCTGCAACATATTTAGGAACCTTTACCAACCAAACTCCACGATTAGCGTTTGACAAATCTAAATCTCGATCAATATGAGTGTCTTTAGACATTTTAATTCAAACTCGAAGTTGTTATGGAATATTGCAGTTCAATATTGTCAGTAAACGAATTGGAAATAGAAACTTAATAAAAACATATGCAAGGGTTATGTTTTATTTACGTCAACAACGACAGTATTGGTAATTAAGAATTTTCAATTGTGTCCAAATTAAATGGAAAATAGTGACCATCAAAAGTTCCCACTTGTCATTTTCTTCTTCTTATTTGTGACATGATTCTATCCCGCATGCGCAGTTTTCTATTTCTACTATCCACATACAGGATTGTCACTTCTATTACTTCTGTAATGAATCTATTACACCAATGCGCAGTTTACTGCATTTTCATTGTTTATTCATTCGGATTATTTTGTTAGTGTTTACAATTGCCAGTGTCACAAAAATGTATGGAGGGTAGAGGTCAACGATTATGGGTAGAGGTAAGGAGGAAGCTTGAAAAAGTGTCCAACTTTCAGCATTAAATAACAGTTGAAAAACCTTCCAGAACGGCGCTAGCATAAGCACAGGGTATGATATGAATCGAGCAGTTGTTAATGACTAGAGTAGTTGGTAGCGATGTGCCGAGTACGGTTTGACTAAAGTCAGACTCGATTCCTGCTTTAGAACTCCCCTATTCCAATAACAATTTATTTTTATTCGAGTAGGTCGGACTCGATCCCGATACTCGAGTCAAGAAGAATTATTCGTACTCGCAACTCGATTCTATTTATGCGAGTCCAACTGACTTGAGTCTCGTATTCGAAATTGGTTAACTCGCTCGTACAAGCTTTGCTAACCGTACTATTTAAATCGTATTTATACGACCTTTTTGGCTTTGGTCCACAAAGACCCCTGGATACCAATTTTGAATGAAATCACATAATAATATGAAACCTCAATCGTAATTATAAATATTCATGATTTCTAATCGAAAATTCTTCATATCGGACCTCACAAACCGTACCGTTTGTTTATCAAATCTGAGAATAAATCACAAATTTCTTCATCTGATTTTATGAAGCAAAGTTCATTACTTTTGAAATTAACATTTATCATTGTTATGAATTAGTTCATTTGAAATAATTTAATTTTAACCCAGTAAACCACGCGCTTTATTATAAAGCCATACATAAATAAAAATCTAGTTGGTGGTAAAAAAACTGGCCTCATTTCCATAATCATTAATAAATAATTATTCATATTTCCTGTGGGAACTATTTGAACAGAATACATTTTCACCTGAAATGATTTATTTTATAAATATATAATATCCCTCCGATTATCAACTAAACCAACCGCCACTGTCTCATGGTCCAACTTACTTCAAATGTAAACAAACTCTCTATAACCTCTGATTACCCGCAACCCCCCATAGCCAATAAGTTGTACAGAAAAGGATGGTCCGATACCCGCTTCAAAATACATGTATTGTATTGGTATAGGCATGGCAACTCTATGTCTTATTATTACTCTGAGGCCCCAGATAACAACATTGGCGATTCATAGAACATCTTTTCTATTCGTCGTCTGTCACTGTCACCTTATTTCAAAAAACCATTGCCCCAAGGTGGCAATGCAAAACTCTGGGAAAGGGATATGTCAGCTGAGGTGAAGGATTTAACGAAGAGAAACGTGTTTATCTTTAGCACAAAATTTCTTTGTTGGAAGTTTTTTGAGATGAAATAACTCTCTGCACTAGAGATTAGAGATAATGGTAATCTCACCTGAAGATGATGTGAACTGGCCACCGAGATCGTGCGATTTGACCCCGTTAGATTTTTTCTTGTGAGGTTTTCTTGAGTCGTAGATGTCTGACAATAAGCCACACACCACAGCAGTCCTCGAAGCCAACATAACCCATGCCATCGGTCAAATTCAGCCTGATGTATGCGCTAGTCATGGAAAATTTGATGTTTCGGATGCGCTCCATCCAGAGAAGCCGTGGCGGACATTTGAACAATGTTATATTTCACACATAACGGCATCAATAGGTCTTTCAAATGAATAAAACATTTCTATACTTGGTTTTATTTGAATTTAAAGATAGGAAGCGTTCAATGAAAGACCCCATATTATAACAAAACATCTTGCTCCCTCCACCTCGTTATTCGTAGACGAAGCTTACAACGGCACTACACATTTACAGTTTTATTATGTTCAGTTAAATGAGTATTAGTAAGTGGACATTATTTCTGGAAGATGGCGCCACTATTTCCTGTCTACACAGGTATTTATCAGGAATCGCCACAGACATTTTTGCAGGTCGGGTCTGCCAGACATGAATCTCGACCAGGTTAATCATTTTCGACAGACAAATTTTCAAACCTCCACCCAAAAATTTCACAGTTCTCAAAATATTAGAAATTAATTTTGCAGGTTGGCGGAAATTCTTGTAGGTCGGCTCTTCCAGACATGAATCTCGTCCAGGTTAATCATTTTCGACAAAAAAAATCCAACCCATACCCTTTGAGTATGGAAAAAGTCCACATTCCTCATTAAATTGAAAACAAACCTTGTAGGTCGGCAGAAATTCTTGCAGGTCGGTTCTGCCAAACATGAATCTCGACCGGGTTAGTCATTTTCGACAAAAAAATTACAACCCTCACCCTTTGATTATGGAAAAATTTTTCTGTCGAAAATGATTAATCCAGTCGAGATCCATAACTGGCAGACCCGACCTGCAAAAGTTTCTGCTGACCTGCAAGGTTTATTTTCAATTTAATGAGGAATGTGGAATTTTTCCTTACTCAAAGGGTGGGAGTTCTTCAAAGTTTTTCAAACTTTGATGAGGTTTGACAACCCTTTATGTAATAGGATTGTTTATTATACGACATAGAGCGTATTGGATTTGAACATTTTTTGAATATCTTAACCATGGAAATGTATATTTGATTTTTTGAGCTGTTTCGGCAGCGTTTGGTTCAATTTGAATTCGTAGCGAAATCGCTTAACGACATCACTTTTGAAACAATCTAATATAAAGGGTTATTTTCGGCTAAGAAAAAAAATATACATCTAGCTGTTACTATTGATTTTATTCCAACAAGTTGAATATATATTATTTTATGAGTAAACATTCAAGATTCTTCTAAAAAGCAGCATTTCTTTTCAATAAAAAAGCATCCCTCATGTATAATCAATCATAAAACTCTGTCATTCCAAATGTGCCATCCGTTCACCACCACAATATTATCCTCATCATTGACAACAAAATACTGTCTAAACGACTTACAAACCTCTCAGTTTCTCCTTCAAAGAACTCAAATGCAAAGGAAACCTATTTTGAGTCCTCTCGAAGACGTATGACTTGCGTAAAAATTCGTGAAAGAAATATTCGACACACACACACACACATTGCAAATTTTCGATCATTCAGTGGGTATTCTACAAAAAGTGCTTTAATAACGGGCTTCGAAATGTCTCCGAGTTTTTTGGGCCATTTTGGCGTTTTTTGATTGATGACTCGTAAGAGAAGCTGTGTTTTGTAGGAGGATTGAGCGTGTGTGTTAAAGTGACAGATGTGTATAAATGGAGAATCAACTACTGATTCTATTGTTGAGATGACTTTTACTTGTACAGGGTTTGTCGAAAATTCTGGGACAAGTTATTGTTTGAGTGGGAACAATTCGAAAGAGCAAGTAATTTCATAGTGCTTCAGAAGTAATGATAGTATTTCATTTCCAAACTTGAAGTGTGTACAGATAGTTTCATTTATCTCAATTGGATTCAGCTCATGTCTTGAAACTAAATAGAGGAAACCAACTAAAATTAAAAGATTGATTTGTGCGTAGGCGTTTCTATATTTTTCTTTGTTTATATGTATGTTGTATCGTAGCTTTGGAATATATAACATGTATTTATACCTATAATTGAATAAGACGAAAAGTTGTACAGGGTAATCATTATCTTTTGAAAGAGTGTTTTGTTATGTATGTATAAATACATTTATTCATCGGAGGAAAAATTGTAACATTAGCAGAGGTAAAGATTTGACAGTGCTGATAGAAAATCTGAGATTTTGCGGTCATTATGAACTTTTCAGCAGCAAATTGATTTCAATGTATTTCGAGAAAACTCACTTTGTTCCAGTTTGTAGTAATACTAGGGGTCTTCCAGATTATAATAACCTAAAAGTCAAATCTGAAAACCGGGACATCGATATCATTTTACAGGTTACCTAAAATAGCAGATTTACCGTTTAATAAAAAAGTTTAGAAACTTACCTACTGTACAAATTGAAATATTTAGGATTTCTCTAACGAAATCAGCTGAAAACTATGTACTATGCACCAGTTCAATTTCACTTGTCTTATGGAATTATTGGATGGGGTGGAACGACAAATTTGAAGCATCTGGAAATCATACAGAAATAAATCAATGAACTTATTTTTGAAAATCTAGAAGATATCCGTTAAATGATATCTATAAAAATCCAGAATACTAGATATCAGACAACTCTTTTATCAGTCTATTCCGATTGACGTCTACAGAGAAAAAGTTAAATATTCCCCAATAGAACATGAACACGATACAAGAAAAGAAGTAACTTTTCAACATATTCCAACTAGTTCAAAAACACTTTATTGCGAAATATTTACTAAAAAGTTTTACAAAAACGCAACACGTGTTTCGTCATACAATGACTTCTTCAAGCGTGTCTTTACACGTCCTATTGGATACTATGTAGTTTCTTATCTATTTCTAGATGTTACTTCAGTTAAGCCCGTTTATTTTTATTATGTGCAGTTCTGAAATGTTTTTTGATTCTGGCGACAAAGTTTCCAGTTTTTGAAATTGGTTCAGAAAGATATTGCGTTTGGAAAATATTTTGTATTTCTCACTCTACAGTGAGCACCATTCTCCAAGAGTCTCTGATACTGTATGAGGATTTTTCTTCGTATATGATTTCATGTTATTTATCAAATTGAAATAGTATATTTAACAAATCCTTCCTCCTCTCTAACAATCTTCTGGCTTCTCTCATCAGCATAAATTCTAAATATCTCTGTTTCCTAGCAACAATATTTAAAATTTTTTTACTAACTGCAGGTTTTTCCGGGTTTTCCTGCAGCTGAAAAAGAATATGCATCACTGGAATCGATGAAGTCGCCCCGGAGCGCCAATTGATTTTTGTTATTGTTTTATAATTTCACGATTTGTATTTCAGAAGTACTAATGTTTGGCAATTTATTACAAACTAATTACTGAGTCTTGGAAAATATTATTGACGTCTTATTTATTATTTC